ATATAAATAAGTCTTACATCTTATTAAAAACCAGCCTGGAGAACAAGAGAACAAAATCAAAGAGTATTTTCCTTCCCTTTACATACTAATAAATGCCTAGGTGAGGAACACTTTCTCTGATTCCTCTGCACAGCCTGAGAACTTGAGACTTTGGGAGAAGAAAAAGAACTTGGCGAGCTGTGGTCTAACCGTACCCTTGAGATGAGATTCACCGCTGTGCTCCTAGGCATGCTCTGGATTTCCGTGAAGGAAGGATGCCCTGATAGTCATAGGAAAGCAATGAACATTTTGCTGCAATTTTCAACTTCTTATATGTGTGAGCAAGAAAAAAATTCATTTCAGCTGAAAATGAAATTCATGTTTGCTTATTTCTCAAGTTCAACTCAGAATTGAGTACTTGTGCAGGAAAACCCAAGCACAGGTTTCACACTGAAGAGGTAAATTTCATTCTTTATTTTCAGTTTCAAAAATAAACATGTTTTATGCATATTTAAGCCTATATAAGAGCTCAAAACACCAACACATTTGTATAATTTTGAACCTGCTAAGCCTATGTTTGAGTTTAATCACGTCATTCAGTAAAAAAATGTTTTTTAAAATCTTGAAAATTGTGTCTTGGCTATTTTTTATTCATATTTCTTGGGCTTATGATTTTAAGAGCTTTATATTCAGCAATGTCAATACATTTTTAGGCCATAAAAACACGTTATAAATTTATATCCTTGATTTAAATGAAATCTACCAAGCCTACCTTTAGAAGAATTAAATCCTACTTTGGCTTAATCCAATTATTTAACAAAAATTTATGATGTTTGCCGTGTGAGTTTTTTAAATTTTGAAGAGGAAAAAGATTAATATCAAAAAAGGTAAGATAATATCTACCTCCCCCCTCCCCCCATTAAAGGCTGGCTAAAAAGTCGCTTTCGGTTTTAAATGGGAAAAAACGATTCTGGGTCCTACCACATCTGCACACCATACCTTATTCCTCATCAGCCCCACAGTGGTGCTGGTTACAGACCTGTAGGCGTCTGTCAGCACGCATAAACCTGCACACTAAAAAGGGTGAATGTTGTATATGTCAGTGACACCTCAATAAACGTGACTTTCAAAAAAAGTCACAACAAACTTACAATTCAGTAACTTATATAAAAACAAAGATAAAAGTCACAACAATTCCCAGAACTATCTTGCCACCCAATGCAAACACAGCCTAGGCATAACTAAAATCTTGGATTCTCTCAGAATAACAAGGAAAATAAAACGTTTCCTGCTTTACAGTTAAGTTAAAGGTTAAATGCCATCTTGTTATTTTGATGATGTCAATGAATACAATTTTACGAGTCATTTTTTAATGACACCTATAGGTCGTGGACAATAATGACCCCAAACTAAAAACAGCTAATTAAACTACATGTACTCGTTCAAAAAAGAAATTCAGAGAATAGAAGGGTTCAGTAAGCCTTCTGTACCTCTGAAATGAAATATCACAATGCTGTATCAGTTTACACAAATCTATTCAGTTTGGGCTTACTCTTACATAGCAAATGGATTTAATTTATGGCAGAAGTTTCTTTTCAACTCAGCAACCTGAACCTCATAAAAACCTTGATCTGTATGTTTCATGGCTTACATCATCTGCTTTAAAGATCTTGTTTGCTACAGAAGTACAGCAAGTGAGCAAACAACCAAGTCAGATAGAAATTTATAGTACTGGAAGCTACGGCAATGCTAATATGTGGTTTGCAAAGGGAATAACAACTATTCATTTAGTAAAACAGCAAGATAATTTCTCTCACCATCTCAGCAATTTTGAAATTTCCTACATATATGACAAAAACAAGAAAAATACATCTCTCTTTTCATAAAGCAAGGTACATTAGGAATAATGCCCTATACCAAAGAAACATTATTAACAATAAGAGCTACCATCTACAGTAATTGTCCCAATAATCCTATCGTGTAGGTATTGTTATCTCCATTGAAAGATGATGATGATGAGAATAATCACCTCACTAATATTCAGCATGTGACAGGTACTGTGCTAAAAGCTTCATATGCTGTACCTTGTTTAGTCTTCACAGGAACCTTATGAGTAGGCATGATTATCACCCCATTTTATAAATAAAGAAATTGAGGTCAAACTGGTTTAAGAATAGGTGCAACTAGTAATGGACAGAGATTAGACTCAAGCCCAGTGTCTGTTGGTTCAAGTCTATGTTGCTCCAACTCCATAATGCCTCCTCCCCAAGGGGCATTATAAACACTGGAATATCACTATTATTACTGTAGTACTTTATTGCACTTCACAGATATCTCATTTTTTACAAATTGAACATCTGTGGTAACCCTGTGTCAAGCAAGCAAGCCAGTCTACTGGCACCATTTTTCTGACAGCATTTGTTCACTTTGTGTCTCTTTTGTCACATTTGGATAATTCTTGCAATATTTCAAACTTTTTCATTATTGTTACAGTGATCTGTGATCAGTGATCTTTGATGTTACCATTGGAACCACAGATGTGGTGGAAATAGCAAGAGAACTAGAATTAGAAGTGGAGCCGGAAGATGTGACTGAATTGCTGCCATCTCATAGAACTTTAACAGATGAGGAATTGCTTCGTACAGATGAGCAAAGAAAGTGGTTTCTTGAGATGGAATCTACTCCTGGTGAAGATGCTGTGAAGACTGTTAAAATGGCAACAAAAAATTTAGACCATTACATAGACTTAGTTGATAGACAGTGGCAAGGTTTGAGAGACTTGACTCCAATTTTGAGAGAAGTTCGGGTGAAGTGCCATTAAATAGCACTGCATGCTAGAGAGAAACTGTGAAAGGAAGAGTCAACCTAGGTGGCCAACTTCACTGTGCTCTGATTTGAAGAAGGTGCCACAGCTGCCCCAACCTTCTGCGACCACCACCCTGACCAGTCTGCAGCCATCAACGTTAGACAAAATTCTCCACCAGCAAGAAGGTTACAACTAGCTGAAGGTTCAGATGAGGGCTAGCATTTTTTTAACAATACAGTTTTTTTCTTTTCTTAATATTTGTTTATTTATTTATTTCTGGCTGTGCTGGGTCTTGGCTGTGGCACACGGGCTCCCCTCTAGTTGTGGAGCGTGGTTTCCAGAGCGTGCAGGCTCAGTAGTTGCGGTGTGTGGGCTCCAGAGCGTGTGGGCTATGTAGTTGCAGCACATGAGCTCTCTAGTTGTGGCACATGGGCTCAGTAGTTGCAGCGCGTGGGCTTAGCTGCCCCACGGCATGTGGGATCTTAGTTCCCTGACCAGGGATCGAACCCGAGTCCCCTGCGCTGGAAGGCAGTTTCTTAACCACTGGACCACCAAGGAAGTCCCAGCAATAAAGTATTTTTTTAATTAAAGTATGTACCTTGTTTTTTTAGACATAATGCTATCACACACTTAACAGACTATAGTGTACACGTAACTTTTATACGTACTGGGAAACCAATACATCTGTGTGACTTGCTTTTTGCAATACTCACTTTATTGCGGTGGTCTGGAACCAAACCTGCAGCATCTCCAAGGTCTGCCTGTACTTTTATTACCAAGAAAGTTATCAGGATAATACATAAATTGTATCTAGCTGTATTTTAAAGCTTCTGGCGTCTATTTTAAAATACATCACAATATATCAGCATAGTACACTAAAGTGAACTATTATAGTTTACCAGAAATGAAAACTGTGTCCTGTATAAGAACAGAACAGAGTAAAACAGTAATTGGGAGAGGCAAGAAATTTATCCAGGGTGGCTGCCTAGGTTACTGACAAGAGAGGGAAGATCTTCTGTAAACAAAAAAGCCTTGCCATACGTTATTTGCTTTCCTAAAACAAGATGGGAAGAAAAGGGCATTTGCTTTGTATTCATTCTCCCTGGGTCCAGTTTTTTTTTTTTTTTTAAATAAATTTATTTATTTATTTTTGGCTGTGTTGGGTCTTTGTTTCTGTGCGAGGGCTTTCTCTAGTTGCGGCGAGCGGGGGCCACTCTTCATCGCGGTGTGCGGGCCTCTCACTATCGCGGCCTCTCTTGTTGCGGAGCACAGGCTCCAGACGCGCAGGCTCAGTAGTTGTGGCTCATGGGCCCAGTTGCTCCGCGGCATGTGGCATCTTCCCAGACCAGGGCTCGAACCCGTGTCCCCTGCAGTGGCAGGCGGATTCTCAACCACTGTGCCACCAGGAGAGCCCCTGGGTCCAGTTTTAATGACCACAATTTGATTAATTAAAGAAGTACTTACAAAAGTGTACAGAAAAGAGTTAACATAGCAGGTCTGAGATTGTTACTCTTAGAAAGGCCTGAGTACAAGGTAGACCCCTGACTAGAGTCTGGGAATCTGGATTTTGGGAGGGTTCCTACTATCCCCTGATAAGAATAGTCACTGTGCCTAAGTTATTTTTTACAAACAACATGGTTTATGCTGAATTATCTGCTTTCCTTCTAGGAGTCTGGAATTTTGGTCAGTGCTAGGCAGAGGGTGTCTATGTGATCAGCCGCCAGTAACAGCTCTGGGCATGGAGTCTCTAATGTGCATCCTGCTTCCCTAGTGGACACTTCACGTGTGTCATTACAATCTGTCACTAGAGGAATCAAGCACAAGCTATGTGACTCCACTGGAAAAGGACTCTTGGAAGCTTGCACCTGGTTTCCTCCAGACTTCGCTCATGCACCTTTTCCCTTTGCTGACTTTGTTTTTGTATTCTTTCTCTGGAATAAATCACAGCTGTGAGTACAATCACATGCTGAGTCCTGTGAGTCCTCCTACTGAATCTCCAAACGCAAAGGTGGTCTTTGGAACCCCAAAACAGATAGTAAGATACTTTCAGACTATACTTATAAAACAGCTACTGCCCAAAACACGACCATTTGCTTAAGATTGGCATGAACCCTGGAGAGGTTTTACTCTCTACTAGCAAATACCAAAATAAGTTCCAAACACCTTGACCTTGTATTGAGTTAAGTAATGTATATTTTTAACAAGTGATACTCACCGGGAACTCTAGCAGGAAAGGCATCAGGAGACCCTGCTCCAGCACCACCCTCTTCTTCATCTTCTTCAAATTCCAAATTCTCTTCTTCACCGGGTGCTAAAATTCTTCTACATGCAAAAGGACAGAGAAAAGAGTGAGCTACAAAACTAAATATACTAGAGAAGCCTCACAGCTACTCATTTCCTAGGTAAGATGTTGATATAAAAAATGCTGACATAAAATGTTAATATGTTACTACTAATGATATCAGTATACCAACATTGATATAAAACATCCAGAATCTCTGAAAAACAGGTATAAAATAAGATGATAGAATAAGAAGACAAATATTGGTGCTTATTTATTTTACCTTAAGGGGACAGGCTGAACATCAAATGGGAATTCTTTATTATATGTAAGAATATTCTTTAGGACTAGAATAAAAAGAGAAAGACGTATGAATTATCTCATGAATCAAAATAAACAATTTTATTGTCAATGACTGATTTTTAGTCAATTTTACTATGCCTATTAATACTTTTTTAAAAATTCCCAAACTTATCATCATCCAGAGCCATAAACCATTGACTATCTTAGCAAAATGAAAATATCCGTACTCCAAGTACCAGTAATTTCAGAGTATTGTTAGACCTCCAAGGAGAGTTACTTCTAGAGTCTCAGAGTCCTTATGGAAAATGAACCCCAAAATAGTTCTATGTACAAAGTCCTAGGTGAGACATGGGGCACCAGAGAAGAGAGTAACTCCTCCCTGGAGTATTTAAATTAAAAGATTGGTGTCAAAGATGACCAATGAGAGGGACATGAGCATATCTTATTCTATGTCCTGATGAGACTTCCCCTCAACTCCATAAAACTGGTAAAGTTTATAGTAGTGAGGTTATAATTCTCATACGTATTTTACCATAGTTTATTACAAATGTGTAATATATACATACATATATGTGCATATATTCTTACATACACACACACACAAACACAAAGAGGGATTTATCCTCAAGAGAAGTCTTCAAACAACATGGTACCACCTCCTGTATTATGGTTGTGGTCAATGACTATATCCTGGCATGTAAACTTAAAGAGAGGTGCTATATGTAACTTAGTGCTTCATATCTGGTCTTATGGATTCCCAGTAACTACCTGCAACTATATGAAGGTGAAGTAATAGCATTAATTGGGCAACCCAAAATATTTCTATGATTTTATACTCAACTTATTCAGTCTCTCTAAGTTTGGAGTCCTGCAGTTGAGAGCTAAAATAGGTATGGATGTTGTCATCCCCAAAAAGGAAATCCCTGTGTACAGGTTGCAATTATATGCCTTACTCCAATCGGAGTTGGATGTGTTTATCAGACTTCTTCTAACATATGCACTCCTACTAAGCCCTTCGGGGAGAGAAGTCTGAGACTTGGGTCTAGATTCTCACTCATTCTTATTCTCGCTCCCTCTCCAACTCTTACCCTCATTCTTCCTCTCTTTTTCTTATCCTCAACAAACGTGCACTGAGTGCTAAAGATATGGCAGTGATAGAGACAGAGGGTTCTTGCCCTCATATGTGGATCTTAGACCCTAGTCAGGAAAAGCAGACAATAATAAGGCAACAAATAAACAAGATAATGTTAAGACTGCAATTAGTGTAATGAAGGACACAGAGGATGCTTGTGTACATGGAATAGAGGGATAACTTCAGCTGAGGTGAACAGGGCAGGCCTCTCAAACCTGAATTACTAGAAGACATTTGAGCCATGAGCTGGATGAGAGGAAATGTCCACAAGTAGCTCTGGGGCAAGGGCTCTCCAAGAATTAGAGAACAAGCTAGAGCAACAACAAAGGCTCTGGGGCAGGAGCTTGTTCAAGGAGTAGAATGGACTGTAGAGCTAAAGTCTGATAAGCAAGGGGGAAGTAGCAAAAGCTCTGAAATCAGATCTTAGCCCTACAAGGATGTTAATGACTTGAGCATTCACATAACTACTCTGAATCTCCGTTTCCCCAGTTCTATCCTTCCCAGACTGCTGAGAAAATTAAATTAAATAACACAGTATATGACATTGCATGGGAACATTTAAAGTACCATAAAAGTATAAGTCTACATTATTATATGGTAATTTATTTCTCCATAGTTTTCCCTATCTGGCTGACTAGAATCCTATTGTTTCAGATCTCACTAAGAAGGACTATTTTTAAAATTATAAGACTATCCTCTCTAAACTTGGTGCATGAATGCTCCTTGTAAGCTATTCATTCAACTCAAATATCAATTAATTCATCAGTCCCCAACCTTTTTGGCATCAGGGACCGGTTTCATGGAAGACAATTTTTCCACAGACCGTGGGTGAGGGAGGGGGGATGGTTCAGGTGGTAATGCGAGCGATGGGGAGCGACGGGGAGCGATGGGAAGCGGCAGATGAAGCCTCGCTCCCTCACCGCTGGCCACTCACGTCCTGCTGTGAAGCCCGGTTCCTCACAGGCCGCAGATCAATACTGGTCTGCGGCCCAGGGGTTGGGGACCCCTGAATTAATCACTTACACAGTATTATGCTAGATACTGAGAACAGGGAATGGGTGACAAAAAAAAAAAAGATCATGTATATCCATATCAGAAATGATCACATTTTAATAATAAAAAGGAAAAATCAAACCTTAAAATATGTACAGAACAACATCAGTGAAAAAGTTGAAAATCATATTAGTCATTAAGAATATCTTAAATTTGTATTATAATAGAAGAATTAAACAGTATTTTCTTTCCTTAGGCATCAATGCTTTGAAAAGGAAATGTCTGTTTTGCAGTAATAGCCTCTCCTTTATTTTGTATTTATAAGTATAGAGTATATCAGATATTTAATTTGTGTGAATAACTTTGGGAGAAAAATAACAGCTCCTTTCTCCCTTTCTGTAAATGTAGGATAGGTTTCCATTTTCACCAACTATGGAATAACAGGGATTCTAACGTCCTTTTAAAATAGGGTTCTACATAAATTTTACATAGGATTTTTCTTCTGACACTAATATTGATATTTTAGGAGAATTTAGAGAAGAGAGAAGCAAGTTTATAATTCCATGGAAGGTATTATCATGAGCATGGAGTCTACCACCATTGGGGACTAACTGGCTCATCCAGTAGAAATCACACACACAGGCCCACCCTCTACTGGTAAGAACTCAGCATTCTCAGCCTGCTGTCATGGAGCAGGCCCTGCAACCTCCTGAAGCTGACACTCTAAAAATCTCACAGACACACACCCCAGATGTATTCTTCTTTTGTGGCTGACATTTTTCATTTTTGTGGTAGGCAAAAATGAGCAAGTGCTTCCCATCTGAAAGGTTATTTTTTTAATTATGTGAGAAGATTCCCTGAAGACATTCAACCTAAAAATCTGCCGAGTTCATACTATAGGCAGAGCGTTGAATGAGGCTCTGTGGGGAAAATACAGAGGCTATTCACAATCTTGAGGAGAGAAATAAATATAAGTGAGAAAAATACAGGGAAGACTACAATGGGGGCTATAAAAAGTGCTCCTAGAAAGGACATGAAGTAGAGTTTAATTATGGCTAGGGAAAGCACGGAAAGCTTTCAGAGAAAGGTGGGATTTCTTCGGGGCCTTCAAAGATGAATTAATGGAAGGGAACTTCACAGTTTATGGGGTTGTCACGGGGGAACAAGTTTGAGTAAGAAGTAGTCTGCTACTAAGGATTAACGTAAGAAAATCAAAAATCAAGTAACTAGTACTTTCAAGATCTTAGTTTTAGTATGAATTTCAGACAGGATTATATTTTTAAAACTTTGAAGGAAAAATACATTAGCAAAATAAACCAACTAGGACTAACATGTTGAAAGACACAGTCATTCATTAATTTTCCTTTCCTTAACATTCTTAGAAGAGGCAGAGGTCAGCTTGACTAAGAACACTGAATCTGAAATATAGTCAATCACCAATTTATAGAAAATGTTTAATTCTGATAAAATAATTAACTCATAACAAGTGCCTAGATTTTATAAATTCAAAATTAATTACAGAGTATATCCTACTGAGATACAATATACACATTTATGTTCCTTTTAGAGGCAACAGCAAATTAAAATCATCTAAAAAAAATAATAAGTACCAGGAAGGGAGAAGTCCAAATGAGAAGCACTATATAAATTCAAACTATAACAAAATGAATCCCAATAATACTCTTTCCATTCCCACACCAAATCTTAAAAAAAAACAAAAACAAATAAACAAAGTAGAAGACTAATGCAGATTTTAGTCCAATCTTCCACTAAGATATGGGCCAAAAATCTCTCAGGAACTTGACCTGAAGAACCATGATATTTAGGGTTGATGCCAATACTGCACCATTCCAAGTATTAATAACAGAGTGCAGTGGTAGGAATGCAGGCTTTGAGATCACTTAGAACCCTGGTCAAAATCCGGTTCTGGCATTTACAAGCTGTAAGATCACGGGCAAGTGTCAGTAAGCAAAATGCCGTTGAGACGATTTATCTGAGTGCTTGGCATACTGCTGCTACTCGAAAAAATGGCAACCGTTATTACCAACGAGAAAGTCTATGAGGCCATAGGAGGAATAACTGAGCGAGTCTATGGAAAGAGATAATAAACATCTGAGTATAAGCGTTTACAAACTTTACAGTCACCCTATATACCTAACAGGTTCTTAAGTTTTATTTGGAAACAAACTGAAAAGAAATGGAAAATAGTGACTAGGTAAGGATCCCAAATCCAAATTATTCTTATCATTTAAAAGTGAACGTTATGATTTTCTTTAGAAACATTATACGACTCAGACATCCCAACTGCAGCTGAAATCTTTTTTTTAAAGCCATCAATGTGCTTTTCTTAAAATAATCTTATATATAGCCAGTTGCAAAAGACCATACATTATATGATTCCATTTATACGAAATGTTCAGAACAGGCAAATTTATAGAGACAAAAAGTAGATTAGTGGTTGCCTAGGGCTGGGAATTGGGGGAAGCTGGAGGGAAATGACTGAATGCTAACGGATAAAGGGTTTCTTTATGGGGTGATAAAAATGTCCTAAAATTGACTGTGGTGATATTCAATACTTGTGCCCTTGCTTATATTTCAAACATTTCCTCTAAGAGAACATTCATTTGAACCAGCAAAAAAGCTTCATCTAGCAGCAACCTAACCACCAAAATATTTGAAGGAATTGTTTACCTCAAAAAAACTTTCAGGAAGGAAAACGAGGACAACAAGGAAGTATTTTATAGAGCAGATCAAACAGCTGGACTGCAGTTTTCAGTGACATGCTGTATAAATAGGCATCAATGACTATAACTTTATATTCTCCAGTAGACTCTACTGTAAATGTTTACCAAAGTAATTTAATTATAGTCTTATTAAAGAGATTAAAACAAAATAAAGGCTAAAACAGATAGATGAGGTATGACATAGAATCAAATAATTTTTCATATTCTATAATGAAAGTGAACCAAAGAATAATTACTATAAATATTATAGGAATTATAAAAGCACAAAAAAATTACATAGGACTAGATATTAACAGAAATGACTCAAATCAGCATTCTGCTAAATAACCTTAATATCCATAACAGCTCAAATATTTTTCTAAAGGAGTATCACTAAAAAATATAAAACAAAACTTACTTGGTTCTAGCTTCTTCAGATCCTCCAGTTTAAATTCTTCTTGGGACTGTGTGGACTGAATTTAAAACATGTGCATTACATATTTTTATTACAAAGATTTCACTGCACCCTATGTCTTTTAAGTGGTTGACGACATATTCAAAAAGTAGCCAAAATAAATGAATCTATTTCTTGCTTTCAGGGTAAAAAAAAAAAAAAATTCCAAACTGGTTTTTGTTTTTGTGTTTTTTGGAACATTCAGGCTAAAAATAACAGAAAAAAATTGAAGTCATATCTTTTATTTTTACAGTTTATATAATATGAACTAAATCTTTTAATATGAGTTTAACCCATGAATTCTTACTGTTATAAAGCCTTTGTGAGACGATACTGCTTTTGGCATGAATGCTAATATTTTATCAGAATAGTTCACAATAATTTCTTTTCCTTATATTAAAAAGTTGGAGGGGGGGAACCTATTTACCTGTAAAGCTGCACTTCGTAATTCCAAGCATGTTGCAATTTTGCCTATGGTTTTCTGAAGGAAAAAGAAAAAGCTATAAATACCAAATATATCATAACTGTTAGCTGTCCAAATCATCAAGTTAATTTTCATTGGTAAGCAATCTATAATTTTAAAAAATAAGTTAAATTTTACTTCTTTTAGCATCTTGCAGACTTTGGAGATGAGAAACAGGAGGTAAAGGACTGGGATCGGGCAGAGAAGGTGAGTATATATTCGCTCCTAACCTAATGTGCCACAACCAATTTTAAATCAAGTTTGCTTTGATGATAGCTTTAGATGTGATTTAAAGGGCAATGAAAAGGACTTCAAGCATCTTCCCTCCTAAGCTTTACCTTTTCTTCTTCTCCATAAAGTCTGATATTCACTAAAAGACTTAAAAACAAAAATATCTGAAAGTTAGCACAGTGGTATAATTTAATTTTGACTCAAATCCAATCTTGACTTGTTCAATTAAATATATCAACAATACTAAGCAGAATCAATACTTGTGATAAATGGTGGTAAATTTTACAGTCAGATCTGAGCTATAAAATGGATACAAGTGATAAGGTGTAGTCCCTGTCTTTAATAAGCTCATGTTTCTATTATATAAGACATTCAGAATCACTGTAACATAAAGCAGAGGCACTTGATTCTACAGGGCTTCAGCGAACTAAGCGGTAATATGTCCTGGAGAAACAGGACAAGAATCGGAATTAGGATTCAAGCCCCAGTGACTGGGAGGATTTCTAAAACTAACGTACTAGGAAAACTGTCATGGTTCATTTGTCTGAAGTCCCAAACTGAAGCAGGGGGAGAAAGGTTTGAAATGTGAAATGCGTGTGTTGGGGGAGGGAGGTCATTATAAAGGGGACCTTCTAGGACCAGCTGCAAAATCTGTTATTACTTTAGCAATAAATCATACAGATAGTTTCTGGACAGAAGAATGACTATCAGATTTGCCCTTTAAGAAGACCGCTGTGTGGGCTTCCCTGGTGGCGCAGTGGTTGAGAGTCTGCCTGCCGATGCAGGGGACACGGGTTCGTGCCCTGGTCTGGGAGGATCCCATGTGCCGCGGAGCGGCTGGGCCCGTGAGAGGCCCGCGTACCGCAAAACAAAACAAAACAAAGAAGACTGTTGTGATAACAGTATCCATAGGGTGAAGGAGAAAAGGGAAAAGAATAAAGGTAAGATCAATCAGGTTATTTCAACTATCCATGTAAACAGTAATCAGAACAAGAACATGAATGACTAGGGTTGAAATGAAAAGGAGGAGACCCATAGAACAAATATGTGCACGAGCAGGCAGCAGCTGAATTATGCCCATCAAGACTTTTAAATCCTTCCTAATAAAAAGGAATAAATCCTGACAATAAAAGTGAATATATATGTACAATATTTGCGATGCCTTCACAAAAAAAATATTCTGGAAAAGAAAAGGATGTTTTTCTATACATACTGACGACCTGCAAAAGTTTAGTCAATTAGATTTGGTGGTTTTCTCTTTCATCAATTTTCTTTGGAAGATAAATGAGGAGCAAAGAGGAGTAACAACTATCGTCCTGGTACCTGGCACCCAGGCTAGATGGCACTACGCAATTATCATGTGGACCATAAACAGCTGGGATAGTTCACAAAATAAAACACTAATTCTACAAATAACAAATGCTAGAGAGGGTGTGGAGAAAAGGGGACCCTCCTACACTGTTGGTAGGAATGTAAATTGGTGCAGCCACTATGGCAAACAGTATGGAGGTTCCTTAAAAAACTAAAAATAGGGTTGCCATATGATCCAGCAATCCCACCCCTAGGCATATATCTGGAGAAAACTATAATTAGAAAAGATACATGCACCCCAATGTTCACAGCAGCACTATTCACAATAGCCAAGACACAGAAGCAAGGTAAATAAATGTCCATCAACAGATGAATGGATAAAGAAGATGTGGTATATGTATATACAATGGAATACTCCTCAGCCATAAAAAAGAATGAAATAATGCCATTTGCAGCAATATGGATGGGCCTAGAGATTATCATACTAAGTGAAGTAAGTCAGAAAGAGAAAGACAAACACCATATGATATCACTTATGGAATCTAAAATATGACACAAATGAACTTATTTATGAAACAGAAACAGACTCACAGACATAGAAAACAAACTTATGGTTACCAAAGGTGAAAGGGGGAAGGATAAATTAGGAGCTGGGGATTAGCAGACACAAAGTACTATATGTAAAACAGATAAACAATAAGGTCCTACTGTATAGCACAGGGAACTATATTCAGTATCCTGTTATAAACCATAATGGGAAAGAATATGAAAAAGAATATGTATAACTGAATCACTTTGCTATACACCAGAAGCTAACACAGCATTGTAAATCAAGTATACTTCAATAAAAAAATTTTTTTAATTTAAAAATATATAAATAAATAAACCACGACTGAGCAAAAGACATGACTCTTGGTCAAGGAACAAGCAACAATATTTAACTACCTCCACAATCTTTAAAAATTTCTTTTAATCTTAATATAAAAGTTTAGAAAACGTCAAATTTTATTTTGAAATTTTACATTTAAATATTATATTTAATAGAACTGCTGCAAAAGGAATCCAGATACTCACAGATTTATTTACCCTCTGAAAGAGCTGTTGTGGAGGAACCAGCAACAATCTTTTCTACATAAAATCTAATAACCTCAGATTATTGTTCATATATATCACTCAAATCTGACAAAACTAGTAAATAATTTTAAATATAAATATAATTATATAGTAATAGTAATAGCTAACAACTATTGAGCAGTTACTAAATGACAGACTCTGCTAAGTGATTTACACACATTACGTCATTTAATCCTGACTACAACCCTATGAGTTAGATACAACTATTTTATAGATGTGAAAACAGAAGACAGGTTAAGCAACTTGCCCTGGACATCAGTGTATTCTATACAATAGCAATATATACAACAAAGTAATACACTTATTTTAATACCATTTGGCCATACTTTTTATGTTCTTTAAAAAATGGTTTTGAAAAAGGGTTGTCTGTATTAAGGGACACGTACCAGTGAGTAAGTCTTTAAAAATACTAGTTAACTCCTTTTCCTTCTTTACTATACAATCCATCTGATTTGATGTTTTTAACATTTAAGGTAAAATGTAGTTTAACAACTATAAGTCCACTAATAATCTATTTTAAATTTAAATATTTCTTCATGTTAAGCAGAAGCAACAGTTTTTTACAAAGAATCTACTGAACTATGGCAAAATACCAATAAGCATTATTCATAACTATTTTAAGGGACCACACCCAACATCAGTATTAAAAAAGGAGTGAAACACTATCATTTTCAGCTGTAGCAAAACATGCAGCATTTATTGATGTCAAAATCAAGTGCTTGCTACTGTAATTATTTCAACTTTCTTAGAAAGAAATGGTTCAGAAAAATTATTAAGAAGCACAAAGTCATATGTGTCAGAATATAAATATTGACTATTAACTAATACACATTAAGACTAAGCACTCAAAGTGAAGTTTAATTTTAGAAAGATTTAAATAATTAGCACTTCATTCAAATTAACTGCTTATACCTACTGTGGTATAGAAATGGAAAATGTCATTTTCAGAATACTGGCTACTTTACTTTGTCACTTGCTAGGGAAATGGACAACTCAAAAAGAGCGGTGAAAGGAAAAGATGAAATAGAAATATACAAATAAAGAGCAAAAGTAATTTTGCTAAAACATATCAAGGAAAAATAGGTTGAAAAAATACACATTGTTAAAGTAGTAGAGTCTCAATCCAGACTTAATTTTTTACATTTAGACAGCCAGCCGTCTACTCTTTAGATGGCGGGGGTGGGGAGGAAAGAAAGGAAGAGAGGGAGGCGGCAGTGGAAAGTGGGGACCTATAAAATGTAAAACAAGCATATAGTGCTGGAATTCTCATTACCACTAAATTTGATTCAAAACAGGGAAAAACTTTCTAAGCATCATGAGACAGGATGTTCTAGTCTGTCCAGAAACTTACATGAGAAAATCTACTACACCAAAGCAGGGAATTCAACGGAATGAAAGCTTTTGGCAGCTCTTTTTTGGCTACTAAACCCTGTTGTTATAATGACAAAACTATTAAGAAATGAAATGAAAGCTATGTCAACTGATCATGAGGGAACATCAAATAAGAATTATAAACTTGCTTTTTTTTCCACCAGAAATCTTTGAGAATATTTTGAATAGAAAAGCCATATGAAGATTTTTTACCATCAACTAATAAACTTTAGAGAGATCAGTAGCTCTGCTTTAGAGTTCTTCAGATTTAAAATAAATATTGTGAAGATATATATGTTATTCTCTAAAAAAATAGGATTCCTCTAATCTTAAAATAATAATCATATACAAATAAATATCAATAACTTAAGATCTAACAAAGCATTTATTCATCAAATATTTTTGAAATCTTACTGTGAACAGTAAAAAGCTTCATAAAGAAAGCACTTTAGAAATATAGTGGTTTTCAAAAATCTTCTTTCAAAGTTCCACAAATTATTAAATGGTTGGCATAATTCTAAAACTTGTCACTGCTACAAAAACATTTAAAATAGTACAAGCATAAAGAATATAATTCCAAATAGAAAACATATAGAACAATTTTGCTTAGAATACTGTAAGGAACATTCTCCATTTTCCTCTTTTAAGGAAAACACAATCAAATTTCTTCTCCTTTGGCTTACATGCCAGGTCTGGCATTCAATTAATTTTGCAGACCTAACAGTTGGTTTCAAAATTTCCCATAACATGTTCTTTAGATCCAATGAAATATTATAAAGGGAGGAGGAGGGAGACTTTCAAAAGCCAACAAATCTGAGAAATACTCCATTACACAAACTCTTTAAAACTCCAACATACACATTAACATACTAAAAGCCCTGACAAGTCACAAACTCTGTTCATATAACATCTATTAATTTTTCAGAGTCAATGTTCTCCAGATAATGTCTGGGAAATCTTTGTTTTTCTAATCATTTATTAACTCAGAGCCTCTAAGTTTTTCCTTATGTGACATTGAAATAAGGCCTACTATGTCAATATGAGGTTTCTGGCCCATTGTGAATGTTTCACCTGTATTTTTAAAGAAAATTTTTTTAAAGAATTTGTATGCATACGACTTGCCTTATATTCATAATGTAGTACAGAGTGATTTGGGGGCCCTTCTCCAAGCCCAAGGAATAGGGAGGCAGGCACAACCTCTCTCTGTAGTCACTACTGGCAGCCACATTTGCCTCCTAAGCAGGTTTATAAATAATAAATACCTCAGAAATCAGGCCTCGAGGAGGGGAGGAGGAACAGACTACCTCAAAGGTAGAGGTCATTTGAAGATTTAGGGATACGTTTCAAGATCCTTTAGGGTTATCTAATCCCTCATTTCATACATAAGGAAATTAAGGCCCAGAGACAGAGACTGGATTCAAGACCAAGTCTTCTGACTCCAGATCTCAGGCTCATTCCTTTAGGTCATGGTGCCTCCTGGGCCTTGTGGAGGGTGAGATCTGTGTAAGCTGAAAAAAGACAGCAGCCGGGTGCCTACTAAGAACAGCTATAAATTAAAGATTGAATACACAGCACTGTCAAACACTCCAGCTTCATCCTTAGAAAGTTAAAGAAAATTAAGAAAAAGCTAATTTTTTCTGGTTAGTCTAATCATCAGAATACGACAAAGCTCATTTCTTGATGACATTTTTAAAAACTTTAGTATGTTTTAGGTCAAATCAGTTTATATTTGAGATCGTGTTGCTCATAGAACCTATACCTAAGCAACAGATGTTGGAGACAAGGCAAACAGGTGATTAAAATATGGCTGTCATTAAACTTTTTAATTTCCTAAGCTTTCATTTTGTTTCCATAGTCATAACACACTTTGTTAGCTGTTAATTTACATACTCAGATATTTGAGATTGTTTCAAAACATAGATGTTTAAACTCTCAATTCTGTGATGCCAGCTGATCACTTCCTTAGCAATTCGTAGACAGATTTCACAAATCTTAGAGGTGATAAAGCATATAGTCCTTCTTCCTTTCCTTTTGCAAACCGGACAATTCCTCTGTGGTAATTATTTTCCAGGGCTAAAATCCTAAGTTTCCTAAATCTATTGTGGATATTAGCAATTATTAAGGAAAAAAGAAAAATATACTTTAAAATTTTAGAACTTCTATTACCTTTTAAAGTACAAAATAAAGATACACTAGATGACACAGACCCAAAAATGTTTTATTAGGTTTTTTTTTGAATTTTATCTTATTTATCTTTTTGTACAGCAGGTTCTTTTTTTTTTTGATTTTTATTTATTTTTTTACACAGCAGGTTCTTACTAGTTATACATTTTATACATATTAGTGTATACATGTCAATTCCAATCTCCCAATTCGTCCCACCACCACTGCCCCTGCCACTTTCCCCATGTGGTGTCCACACGTTTGTTCTCTACATCTGTGTCTCTATTTCTGCCCTGCAAACCGGTTCAACAGACCCCAAATATTTTTAAAATGCAAACATACTAACTTGTGTAAGAAATATGACTGACCTTAATTTTTGGTGTTTTTTTCTTTTCAAAGACTTATAAAGATGAATCAAATGAATACAGGCCTAAGGACTAAAACCAATCTGTTTAGGCTTACTTAAAGAGTGTGCAAAGAATCACTCCCACTCCCACTCCTTGTACAAAAAGAGAATAAAAGCAAATTAAGTCACCATAGTTTTTACAATGTCTTAAGAAATGGGAGGAAAACTGACATGAATTTTTTCATTATCTACGAGATTAAAATTTAACTTAACATTAGATACCTTGAGCCAGGAAAAATAAGAATTGTTTCCTCCCATTTCTTCTCACTGTTTTACAATAAGGCTTCTTAAAATATCCCATTTTTCACAATCTCTAGCAGTACAGGGAATCAATTTGATTCATTAAAATTTTAATTCAAGGAGAAAGAGCACCCTTGAAACATTTTGCAACTTTATGCATTTATTTTGTTGATGGATTCTTATGCTAAATTCTTGACTTGAACTAATTATTTTTCAGTGGTGGCTTTTTTTGTTTTTCGCTTGTTTTGTTTGTTTTCAGAGGAGGTGGAGAAGGAGGTAAGGAAGTTCTGAGTTAAGTAAGTACTGAGGTGGGATGCAATTACTCACAATCAAACTCCAGTCTCTGGTACCCCTTCCTTCCCAACCAAAGTGTGGATGGTCTCCACTAAATGTCTAAATGGCTGAGTAAAGAAATTCACTAAGTGAGAAATTCATTACATGGTAAATCATGTGGTATCTCTAAAGTAATTACTTAATGTTCAGCGAAGCATAATCAGTATCATTCTTTGTACTTAAGTATAACAGTTTTTGTTGTTTGTTTTTGCTTAATGGACTCAAGACAGAACCCTTTTCATTTGGAATCTGATGTATCTAGAGATTATTTTACGGTACCTTTTGTTCTTCTGTGAACTCAGAATTATTGTGTTGAGCTTGGGCCTCTTTTTGTAGGTGTCTTGCTAATCTGTAAGAAGAAAAAAACATTCTTTAAAATTGAAGGAAAGCAAACTATTTCAAGTGAAACATGGTAAAATAATTTAATTCTTAAAAAAGAGTGAAGTACAATAACACTTTTCTTCTGTTTTCAAAGTATAAATCTACATTATCTTTAGAATCTAACTCTTTATACAATGACAATGGAAATAAGATACTTTTCATACCATTTCACTGGGACAAATTTCAGCTCGAGACAGCAAAAACAGAATCATAGAGGTGGAAAGAATCTCAAATGACATCGAATTCAACTTTCCTTAGTACACACGAATTTTTTCTACAACAAGCCAAGAGCAGTTGTCCAGATTCAGCTTAAACACTTTCAGTGAGCACCAATTAATAGTACCAGCCAGAGGTACTTTATCAGTCTATCATTAATTTGCTGATAAGATTAGTTCAAATTACAGCCATGACAAAGTGATGATACTCTATCAAATTATACTTTTGAACGTATTTTTCATGGCAAATAAAGAAAATCCTCTACCAATCAGACATGGAAATCACTGTTTGCTCAGTTATCATCATCCTTAAAAACAGCAGCTAGGCCTCGGATGAGTTTTCAAGGATGGATCTGTGTTACAAGTCTAAGCTCAACTCTTACAGCTAAACAATAAAAAGAAAAATAACTCAATTTAAAAATGAGTAAAAGGTTTGATTGAACAGACATTTCTCCAAAGAATATATAAAAATGGCCAATAAGTACATGAATATCATCTCATTAGTTATTAGGGACATACAAATTAAAACCACGATGACATACAACTTCACACCCACCAGGATGGGTATAATTTTTAAAAAGAGGGAGAAAAAGTACAATGGGTATTGGCAAGGATGTGGAAATTGGAACCCTACCACTGGAACTGATGGTAGGAATGTAAAATGGTACAGTCACTGTGGAAAACAGTTTGGCAGTTCCTTAAAAAGTTAAGCACAGGGGGCTTCCCTGATGGCGCAGTGGTTGAGAGTCCACCTGCCGATGCAGGGGACACGGGTTCGTGCCCGATCCGGGAAGATCCCACATGCCGCGGAGCGGCTAGGCCCCTGAGCCATGGCCACTGAGCCTGCGCGTCCGGAGCCTGTGCTCCAGAACGGGAGAGGCCACAACAGCGAGAGGCCCGCGTACCG